TGATTAGACATTGATCAAACAATTATCAGTCAAATCTTTACTTTTGTGCTTAAACATAATTTACTTCCTCAGTATAGTGCGTGTTTCTTCTCTGTGTGGCAGGCAAACACGAACCTTCCTCATTTTAGGGATGTGTGTCTACTTCCTCGTGTGATTCTGTACTTTCCACTCTGCTAGATGTAAATTCAGTTTTCCCTGTCCTTTCAATACAACCATTTAACTTTTTATTTAACACATTCACTAATGATTATGTCAAACAAAACACATAAATCATTTTATGATTATCTTTACTTATTAAAAGCTTAACTTTTCTAAGCATTCTGCCACAGCATTTTAATAATAATTCCTTTGTCTTCTCCAACCTCCCCTGGAACTTCTTCTTTCTCCTCTGCCTTCTCTGTATCTTGGTGCTCGTCGAGGCCCGTATTCACAGCCTCGCTGACACTTCTAAGTTTTCTCAGCATACTATGACTTGGATGACTGAGAATTTGCACGGACACGTTGCTATTCATCATCTCAGAGATTACACATTTAATAATGGGCTCTTAGCTAATTGTGTGGATGCTGTAAAGCATCCACACTATGATCTTCTGTTTTTTATTATTATTATTATTCTGGGATCTTCCACCCTTATTTATTTTATGGATCCATACAGTCAGCATGCATACTATGTTATCCTGGTCTTTATTATTATTATTGTATGGATGTTGAGTCAGCATCCATACTGCGTTATCCTGTTCTTTATTATTGAAGCCCAACTGAAGGAATATAATGTATAGGCCTGGTGGGTTCAGGGTCTTTCATCTTACATCTGCCTTCGAGCAGTTTGGAGGTGCAAGATACCTGAGTGTGTAATGTTAATTTTACCTGTATTCATGGAATAAATCAGCAGTGTTTTGTAGTTGCTTGGACTGCCTCGTCTCTCAGAGTCAGTATGGTAAAAAGTACCGGGTACAACAACAGTATCTGCCTGAAGTTGGTACCAAACTGCACATGTTTGCTGCAACTCATTTAGAATTGTCTTTGAGTATTTTGTCTGTCTGCTGCATGCTTGTTCCCTGTTTGCCATGATTTCATGCTTTTGATCTCTGGCAGCCTGAAAATGTAGTGTGACAGCTTGTCCACTCTAATATTTGTCTGTGTGTGTAAGGAAGCTGTAATACCCCAGTTCTTTTATTGGACAGATCTGAGTAAGGAAGGAGTCCATCTTTCTTCATTTTAGTGCTGATTTATTTAAACCACAAGCAAAGTTACAAAACACAATCCCGGTGGCTCCTTCCTTCAGAGACACACACACGCTGGCTGCTGGAGAGAGGAGCTCCCGGAAACACAGAGCCTAATACATGTATATGTTTTTGGGCTAACTAATCATAGCATAGTTGCTTGAATCCAGGCTTGTTGTTTGCTTGTAGATCATCATTCCACTGAGCTCAGACTTCGGCTTCTGCACTGATGCTTATTTAATATCATAGCTGAGATAAATGCACAACTGTAAAACAGACTGTTCATGCAAATAGCTAGTTAAAGTGGACCTAGCTTGAACTACTTTATATACAATTAGGTAGATGAGTTCAGTTTCCCAGTCTAGGAATCAGCCATCTCTTAACTGCCACAGGATAAATCTGAAGGTTTTTGAGATGATTAATAATAGAAGGGAAAGTTCCTGCTATACAAATCTGTATTCAGTTTTTTGTACTTTTGGTAAAAATATTTTTTGCTGTTTTGTGTAAAAAATTGTCTACCATTATACCCCAGTTCTTTTATTGGACAGATCTGAGTAAGGAAGGAGTCCGTCTTTCTTAATTTTAGTGCCGATTTATTTAAACCACAAGCAAAACTACAAAACACAACTCGGGTGGCTCCTTCCTCCAGATATCCACAGGCAGGCTGCTGGAGAGAAGAGATCCCAGAAACACAGAGCCTAATACATTTATACGTTTTTGGCCTAACCCCTTACATAGACGGACTACAAAACCTCAGATGAAGTCAGTCCACAGACTCCATTTCTTATCTAGAGCTCCAGTTGCATGGAGCCGTTGGCCATAACAAAATGAAGAATTTCGATGTGTGTGTGTGTGTTGTCACATGGTGCGTAACAAAAACATTCATTCAGACATAATTCTAACAGGATGAATACAAGAAAACAATTGGTGTCAAGGTAACTGTAGCTCACATTTCAGAATCAACACTGTTTTTTAACCTTGAAGCAAAGCAGACTAGAGCAGAATCTTACTAAACTGCATAATAATAATAATACTACACTAATAATTATCTGACAGATTTACTAATATCTAACACTACTAAATAAAAATATTGCATTTTTAGCCATAATATAAAATGAAAAGTCACTAGTAACTAACTACTGTGATCAAATAAATGTGGTGGAATAGAATAGCACCCCCATTATGTAACATTTTGTGTATGCACAAATACTCAGCATGTATTTTATGTAATGTAGTCTGTATGAGAGCACATACTGCTGATTGCAACTTTTCACTATTTTATTTGTATGGCTTTTGTTGTTCATCTAACCATTATTTTGTTATAACATTCTGAGAATATTTTATTTGGAATCATAATACACTAGAAGTACAGCCTCATGGTTGTAAGACTCTGCCAACCTGACAAGTTGCAGCTTACATGCAATGTCTGTTCAGACCACACTGTAATGATGGACATCATGATCACCTCACAAGTCGATTGCCCCCTGGTGGTTGGTTCCAGTATAGGTCATAAATCCCTCCCTTTTTATGTTGGCGGATGGTACATGAGCCGAACTAAAAATTCAAAGTACAGCGTAAATACATTCAGGGCTTCAGACTGCAAGTGATCAGTTACATTTTGCGAACAAATTTATTCAAGGTACAACGGTGTTTACCAAGGTGTTCCTGAGAATGGGATGGGTGTACATACTCTGGCGCATGATGTAGGGATGGGTGTACATACTCTGGCTCATGATGCAAAGCTTCATCTCATCTGTCAATCATGGCAGTGGTTCTGGTATAGCAGGGGTTGTATGGGTGTCAATTTCACTGCTGACATAAATAATAGGCTGAATGCAGAGGTGTGAGCATTCTGTGTGTTCAAATTCAGCTAAATAAACCAAAACTCATTTGATGACATTTCATTCAGCAAGACAGTGGTTCAGTGCATATGCCCAGAGCAACCACACAGTTCAGCTGGTTGTGTCAGCCACCTGATCTCAGTCTGATTGAGCTGGATTCTACCTGCTAAATACCAGACTAAAGGTGGAGAGACCCAAAAGAAGCAAAGGGAGGCCTGGGAGAGCACCACCAAACTGTCCGCTGATGTTTGACATTTTCCACACAGTCCTTTTTATATTGGTGTTAACATTTTCAAAGTAAAGCTCAGACTTGGCACTTCAACATGATACCAATATTTTATTACAAATTGCTGAAGCACAGAGACTGAGTAACAGAAATTTCTCCACTGTGGGATCAATAAAGTACCTACCTAACAAAAATATGTACTTGCCCAAATACTTAAAATCAGAATTTTTAAAATAATTTCACTGTCCTAAACAAACAAAAATTGTATCCTGATGTATTTGGGTATGCGTGCCTGAGGCCCTTTTAATTGAAAAGTATTCACACTTACCTTTTCTGCTTCTCCCCTCAGGATGACGGGCCGAGAGTTTTTCACTCGCTTTCCACCTCTCCATCCATTCCTTCTGTACCAGCTGGAGGAGGCTGCTGCCACAGTGGAAAGGTGAGGTCTTTCTCTTTAATCCACACAGATGCACACGCTGCGCTCAGCCCTTGCCGTGGATTCTCACAGTTTCTTCATCCCATTATAATGTTAATTTCACTTACGTTTAAGCCATGTGAGACAGCTTTTTTTGTTTTGGTAAGATGATTAAGCAGTGGTGCTTTTGTGCTGGGAGCTTCCTGGAGTAAGAAGGAGGATGAGGTGAAGTCAGCGCAACTTTGTGTTACTCTGAAAACAAAATTTTTCTTAAAATGGAACATGGAACCATGAACCCTACATTGAGTTCTTGTGTGGGTGTTTTTTAAACAAAGTATGACTGACTCAAAACACAAGAGTTTACAAAGAAATAATGTAAATGTCTTGTCTAGCTGTTGTTTTTTTTTTGTCCCCACTGCAAAACAGCGGGAAGTTGAGTCCATTAAGGTTCATTGACCATCTCTTTGAGAGGTCAGCCCAAACTCTAGTATAAAAGCACTGGATTGGTCTGACAGCTCCCCAGGCAGCCTTAACTTAATACGGATGCAAATAATTGAGTGCTCTTTCAGAATGGCTCTTTTACCAATTCCCTCACTCCCTTCAATCCTTGTTAAAACTTTTGCAAATTCCCAAAGGACACAGATCTCTGCGGTCTTACTTTCCACGCCATCTCAATGTATCACACCACCCAAACAGAGCAACCAGATTTGTACTGTAGCAACACACAGCAGGACAGGAGTAAGAGAGCTGTGGTTTTAGGCAGACTTGTCAAAGTTGCAGTACAAATGCATTCCCAGAAAAGGTCACAATAAACAGATTACAGAAATGAGCTTTGGAACTGTAAGGTTGTACTTTTATGTCCATGTATATGCATTATATACTATGCAATCCATCCCTCCTCCACAAAAGCTTATTCTGGAAAAAGAAAAAAGGTATAAAACACAATAATGAATGGAAAACAGTTTTGTGCCTACATAGTTAAGTGATCACAAAGCCTGGCATGTACAGTAGTTGGAAGCAGTATTTGAAGTGCACACCGAGCAAAAATGAACAAAAATAGTTGTAATGTGCATACAGATGGCTAATGCATTTGGAGTTCTTTGCTTTCACTTAGGGAATTGCAACTGTGTTGCATATGTGATAAAGCTTATATTAATGATTAATTTATGATAATTTTTTATACTTCTTAGACTTGCTACCCGTAAGCCTAAAAGTCATGCATAAATAATCTTTGCATGGATTCTACAACTAATCTATAGATTTTTCAAAATATACCTTCGGATAAAGAGATACTATAATACACAATACACAAACAATCTACAAGATATAGGTAGAAGAAAAACAGTATAGGTGAGTAAAGTAAATAGGTAAGAATGAAAGGAAAGAAAGTGAGTAAAGTGTAAATGAACTCCCCCCCGTCACCATTGCATTGGTTCTACAGGAACTATTTGAAGTTTTGATATTAAGACTCTGGTTCCATTCCCTGCGCAAAGGGACACTGGGGAGCGATGAGGCCTTTCATGATTCCTTTTGCCCAGCTGAAATAGTTGGAAAGTATTTGGAATCATCTCCACTGAGATAAATACGATGTTGCTTTAGTTGCTGTCCTGTATTATTCAAGAAGTCAACGGATGTAGTGTCTAAAAATTGAAAATGTTTTTATTTCCAATGTAGATGTGTGAAATTATTGATGTGAAGCAGTGTAAAATACTCTGCGCTTTGATTATCATACAGTGGGACGGTTAAGAAAAAACTGTTAGACTCACTGACAAGCACTTTTTACACTTGGCTGAAAACAAGTATGCTTTAGTGCTAAAACAAAAGATACACAACAAATCTTTGTGTTGATTGATTGACTAGCAGTTTGACATCTTAGGTGTCATGGAAATTGTGGAGGGAATCTTTCACTGTTTTCTGACATTTTAAATCCAAAACAGTAATTCGGATAGTCAAAAAATAGACTGACTCACTAATAATGAAATTAGAGCTGAAACAACTAAAATCATTATGACTGTAAACAACAAACATGCAAAAATACTTCAGAGTTTAAAGCACTCTGAAGAAGGTACACTAGTGCCAAATTGTCAGCTCATGGAAGTCTGCACTGCGTAGCCATCAAAGGTCTCCTGCTTCCCTGCAGGCATTTTTGCTCGTTTGCCGTTTACAATATTATGTCTTTTGCAGTTGAGCAAACTTCCCTGCAGGTTTGAGAGGGTTAAAAAACAACCTTCATAAGGATCAACATTGTGGCAGGGCAGTTGTATCAGATTGAATTAGATTGCAAGGGTGTACCTAATAATGTGGACACTGAGTTTTTAATCTGTCACATCTAATCAGGAATCCTAAAACATTCTACACCCAATACATTCAACTTTGCCCACCCAGATGCTACCGTAATTACTACAGTGTACTACATATCGTTTCACTTTGTGCTGTGGGATGTAGCAGGGAAATGTTTTACTCTTTTCTCTCATTTTAAAGACCACGCACAAGTTCAACAGATTGAATTTTGGCCACACAGCCATTATAGTCAGAATAACTCTGAATCCCCATTTGGAGTTCATCATCCAGAATAACGAATCAGGCCCAAGCACAAGGACTTTTTGTCTGAGTTTAGAAGTAAGACGTTACAGGTCATCCAGGCCCTTATGTCTTTAAGACATGCTTGAAGTTTGACCAGCTGATCTGATTCATTTGGCTTCATAGATAAATATAACTGAGTATCATCTGCATAGCAATGGAAATTTATGCTGTGCTTCCTGATAATATTGCCTAAAAGGGACCATGTATAAAGTGAAGAGAATTGGACCTAACACAGAGCCCTGTGGAACGCCGTGACTAACTTCAGTTTGTGTGGAAGAGTCATCATTAACATGAACAAATTGAAATCTTTCTGATAAATAAGATTTGAACCAACTTAGTGCAGTTCCATTAATCCCAATAACATGTTCAAGTCTCTGCAGTAAGATGCTGTGATCAATGGTGTCAAAAGCAGCACTGAGATCTAAGAGGACAA